CATAAACACATATTCCTTCACTAGTAAGAACTACAATGTTGCCCAAGTTCAACAACCCAAATCTTTGAAGGTGTGCGTGTATTGTAAGAGAACAGGACACATAGTTGACGTATGTTATAGTAAACTAGTTGTCATTGGTGTGAGAAACTTTCTCTTCTTCTTTTCTCTTGTGGGTATCAACAAGATCAGGCAAATCATAACCTTTTTATTAAAATCAATGGAATTGATTTTACAAATTTGATAAAGTATGTTGGTGACATAATCTTGGCTAGTAATTGTTTGCATGAAATTGACACTATTAAATTGGCCCTAAATTCTCATTTCCACATTAAAGACTTAGGGCCCTTGAAATTTTTCTTGGGTCCAGAAGTTAACATATAAGATGCTGGAATTTCTATTTGTCAACAAAATTATTGCTTGGAATCGTTCTCTAATTCTGGTATGTTGGGTTGTAAGCTTTCTACTAGTCCTATGGATTGATCGTTTTGTCTTCATAAAGATTCTAGTGCACCCTTGTCTAATCCACTCTTTTATCGACGTTTGATTGGTTGATTGCTATATCTTACAAGCATGCGTCCAAACATTAATTTTCCTGTCCAGCAACTAAGTCAATTCAAGAATAACCTAACTCAAATTCACTTCCATGCTACAATACAGATTCTTAAATATCTTAAAGGTTGGCTTAGAAAAGGCTCTATATTTAGACGTGACTCTCCAGTCCATGTTTTGGGCTTAGTGATGCAAATTGGGCTACTTACATTGACTCTTGTTAATTAGTTACGGGGTATTGCATCTTCATTGGCAATTATTTAGTTTATTGGAAAACTAAGAAACAACACATTATATCTCGATCTTCTTCCCAAGCTGAGTTCAAGGCACTTACTTCTACCACATGAGTTACAATAGTTAATTTATTTACTATTTGATCTCAAGATTTATTGTCCAAAGCAACATACCTTATATTGTGATAATAAAAACACATTTCATATCGTTGCTAATTATGTCTTCCATGAGTGCACCAAGCAGCTGGAAATTGATTGACATATTGTCTGTGAAAAACTTAGTGTGATCTTATGTGATTGCAACCTGTTTCTTCCAATCACCAACTTGCTGACATGTTTACAAAGGTTCTACCTCCTTGCTTATTCAATATTTAATTTATCCAAGCTGAAGTTGTTTGACATTCACAAAACTTCAGCTTATGGGAGGGTAAAATAGAAGAAGCTTAATGCTCTCTTGACATAATACATTCCTCAACCTTCAGCATATTCTTAATTTGCTTTTTGTTACGTTTGTTGTACATGGCAATACATTCTAGATAGTATTAGTTGTATTTTGTTATGCTTTTGTCTTTTCTATTATCCTTATTGTTGATGTTTATCCATAGTTACTTCACATTATTCAGGTACAGTTCATTTTGCTCCGAGTTTTATAATCTATAATGTGTTTTATGTCCCCAATTTTTGTTTTAACCTTTTTTCTATTTCAAAGTTTCTTTCAAGTCTCAATTATAAATTAACCTTTTCAGGTTTTTTTGTAAATATACAGGAAGTGAGCACAATGAGGATGATTGGTTTGGCTAAGTTATAACAAGGTCTCTACTCCTAGTCACTCAAGAAAATTTCAGCCCTACTCCTCATGTCCCTTTTGTCAACCACCTCTCCATCTCAACCATCAACAAGAACAATCTTTAGCATTTTCGTTTAGGACATTTGTCAGACAAAAGACTTAATGTTTTAGTGACTCATGTGGGATTTGTCACTTAGCTAAACAAAAGCAACTATCCTATTATATATAGTAGAGCTTCAAAAATGTTTTATTTCATTCACATGAATATTTGGGATCCTTTTTCTAAAATTTCTATTCATGGGCACAAGTTTTTTTTTCACTATTGTCGATGGTTTTAGTAGATTTAATTGTGTTATTTTATTAAAAACAAAAGCAAAAATTTAAGTAAATATTCAAAATTCCATTACCTTAGTTGAGACACAATTTGACTCGAAAGTAAAAAAATTTCATTCCGACAATGGTCCCGAATTTTCCTTAAAGAATTTTTATGCCTCAAAAGGTATTATTCACCAAACAAGTTGTCCTTATACACCTTAACAAAATGATAGAATTGAACGTAAGGACCAACACATTCTTAATGTTGCTCGTGCTCTTATGTTCCAATTTGAATTTTCGAATAATTTTTGGTCCTATGCCATAAAACATGTTGTTTTCCCTATAAATCGGATTCTCTCACTAGTCATAAAAAATAAAACACCTTTCGAATTACTATTTAATAAAAAACCTGATTTTTCCATTATTAAGGTTTTTGGTCTCTTTGTTATGCTTCCACCCATTATCCATGCAAAAATTTTGATCCACGTTCTAGACGTGGGATTTTTTTGAGTTTTCAAAATAGCACAAAAAGGTATATTATTTTGGATTTAGACTCCAAAGAAATTTTCTTGTCCAGAAATTTCATTTTTCATGAGACCATCCTCCCTTTCTAGAAGCCCAATGCTCTCATGCTCTCACTCGTAACACTACCTCATCCCTTCCTGTTGAACCATCCACACCTTTTCTCAGAGTTACCTACCCTTATGCAGACCCAATTTTTCTAGATCCTTCCTCTTGTTGGCTCAATGCCTCCCCTTTACATCTCAATCATCTAACACAAAACACGTTAACCCCTCTACCCCTATCTAATCCATCATCACCCACCACTCATCACAACTCATCCACATTACCAAACTCACCCACGATAATCAAAACTCTCCCCACACCATATGGTCATCAACCACGTTGTTCTACACACATCCCTCAACTTTCCACTCGTCTTCATGACTTTTTATGTAGTACATTTAGCTTTTCATCAAACCAACCATCCTCATTGTGCACACATCTCATTTAAAAGATAATTTCTTATTCTCAGTTACCTCCTTCTTACCACAAATTTGTCATGTCCCTTGTTTGTTAGACTGAACCTTCTACCTTTAAAGAGGCTATTCAAAACCTTGATTGGATTGAGATAATGCAAGCTAAAATTGATGCTTTGAATTTAAATCAAACTTGAGACATTGTTGAAAATCCTCTTAATATTAAACCTATAAGATACAAGTGGATTTACAAGGTCAAGCGCAACTCTAATGGTAGTATTAAGCACTACAAAGCGCGACTAATTGCTAAAAGTTTTTTTAAAATTAAAGGTATTGATTATATGGAGACATTTCCCCTGTGACAATGATGACTACTATGCGCATTGTCCTGGTTTAGCTTCAATTAACAAATGACATTTGTAATAACTAGATATAAATAATATTTTCTTGCACGATCACCTATCAGAAAATATTTACATGACCATCCCTCTTGATATTCATTACTACTCTAGTTCACATTTTACAAATTTCACCAATCTTTATATGAACTAAAGCAAATTAAGAATATGTTGAAGGTTGAAGAATGTATTGGACCAAGAGAATATTGAGCTTCTTCTATTTTACCAATGAAGTGAAAAAAATTAACATAACATTCTAAGTTATGTTCTGTTGTGCTGAAAAGGATTTTCACTTGTCATGCTCATTGTATCATGTGAATCTGATTTTGATAAGGTTGAGCGGAGAAAAGAGGTGAGTTCAACTAATTATGGGATAAACAATTTAGTTACAACAATAAATATAATAATTCATGAACAATTTATGATAAATTTAAGCTAAAATTTAACTTGATGAAATAAAAGTTAAGAAATAAAATAACATTAATTAGGTTATTAAATTATTATAATTAATTTTAAATTTTAAAATAAATAATAAATTACAAATTAATCCTTTATAATTTAATTTAAATTCGTATAACTCCTAAACTAAGTAAATCAATTTTATTTTCAATCTATTATCCATAAAAATAAAAATTGAACTTGAATTCATCGCGAGGCGGATTTATTAATCAGTTACAACTATATTGAAACCCTAAAATTATAAATGTTTGCGGAGTCTCATTCACACACAACATCGGTCAACCAAGTTTTCAACGTGTTCGAAAAAAAAATGAAAGTAATTAAATTCTCATTCCACGTTCACTCAAATTTGTTCTTTATAAAATAAAGTTAAAAAATTATCCATGTGATAGATGCATGTGTTCAAATACTTTTCAAACGTATACTACAAATAAATCAAATAAAAAGCAGAATATTTATTATGCAAAAATTCACTGGATAGAAATTTATCATATTATTGTGTTTTTAAAAATATAGAAATTTAATTAATTTTTTATTAATATTAAGATCAAACTGATTAAACAAAAAAGTTAGAGCATTATCAATAGAAGAAAATTATGAGTTTTTTAAAAATATTTTCAATTGACATTATTTATTAAAGGTTAAAGTAAAATTAAGTAATTTTGTATTTAAAGAATTTAAAGTCACATGATAAAAGCATCTTACAAATGTATTTTTAATATAATTATCACATCCATAAAGTTTTTAAAATTGGAAAAATTTATGCTATCCTCAGTTCACACTATTTATACTTCAGGGTTGTATATTTTATTATTTATCTTGTCATAAATAAAATTATTTTTTATTATAATAAATAAATTGTTTATTATTATTATTATTTGAAATAATTAATCAATATTTTTTAATTTTAATATTAAATTTTAAAATATTTTTATTAAATTTTAACATAATAATATGATTAAAAAAATAATAAATAAGAGAGTAAAAAAATAAAAAATATGAAATAGAAAAGAGAAAATACAGAATAAAAAAATAAAAACTATATATAAATAATAAATACGACTATTTGAATAAAATGGAAGAATTGTTTTTTTTTTTAATATATTCTTTATGCAATGAACCCTAAAGAGTGTTCTTCCCGCGTATAGGCCTGTCTCAGTTGGAATCTTTTCATGGATTGGATTTGAACCAATATCTCCGGGCGACTTTCCTTTTAATCGATCGTGATCGTGAGTGGGTCTGTCGTCCTCCTCATTATAGTGTGCAATAATCTGCTACGATGTCTTCGTCGAAAGAGGCGGACCCAACCCTGGGTTACCTCACACGGAAGGACACGGAGGTGAAGCTTCCGCGTCCAACCAGGGTCAAGAACAAAACCCCTGCTCCAATCCAAATCACCGCCGAGCAAATTCTCCGGGAGGCTCGGGAACGTCAAGAAGCGGAGATCCGCCCTCCCAAGCAGAAAATCACCGACTCCACAGAGCTCGGTGAGTACCGTCTCCGCAAGCGCAAGGAGTTCGAGGACCTTATCCGCCGCGTTCGATGGAACATTGGCGTGTGGATCAAGTACGCGCAGTGGGAGGAATCGCAGAAGGATTTCAAACGCGCGCGTTCCGTTTGGGAGAGAGCGCTGGAGGTGGATTACAAGAACCACACCCTCTGGCTCAAGTACGCAGAGGTCGAGATGAAGAACAAGTTCATAAACCACGCACGCAACGTGTGGGACCGTGCTGTCACTCTTCTTCCGAGGGTGGATCAATTGTGGTATAAGTACATCCACATGGAGGAAATGCTTGGCAATGTCGCCGGCGCGAGGCAGGTATTTGAGAGGTGGATGAAGTGGACGCCGGACCAGCAGGGATGGCTGTCCTACATAAAGTTTGAACTTAGATACAGTGAAATTGAGCGCGCCAGAGGGATTTTCGAGCGGTTTGTTGACTGCCACCCTAGGGTTGGGGCTTGGATACGCTATGCAAAGTTTGAGATGAAGAATGGCGAGATTGGGAAGGCTAGGAGCGTATACGAGAGAGCCGTGGATAAGCTCTCTGATGATGAGGAAGCAGAGCAGTTATTTGTTGCTTTTGCTGAGTTTGAGGAAAGGTGTAAGGAGACTGAGCGTGCAAGAGCTATCTATAAGTTTGCTCTTGATCATATTCCCAAGGGAAGGGCGGAAGATTTGTATAGAAAGTTTGTGGCATTTGAGAAGCAGTATGGAGATAGGGAAGGTATCGAGGATGCCATCGTTGGGAAGAGAAGGTTTCAGTATGAGGATGAAGTGAAGAAGAATCCGTTGAATTATGATTCCTGGTTTGATTACATAAGGTTGGAGGAAAGTGTTGGGGATAAGGAAAGGATCAGGGAGGTTTATGAGAGAGCTATAGCCAATGTTCCCCCGGCCGAGGAGAAGCGCTACTGGCAGCGTTATATATATTTGTGGTATGTTTGGTTTGAAGTTCATTTTTCATGTCTTATTGTTTATTCCCTCACTGTTTTGACATTTTCTCCTGATGTTTGTTAATCATGTATGTTCAATTTAGGATTAATTATGCACTCTATGAAGAGCTCGATGCTGGGGATGCGGAGCGAACGAGGGATGTATATAGGTATGTATCTGTTTATAAACTTAGCCCTGTGTATGCTCAAGGAATAATGGAATTAAGAAATTATGCCTCAGTTTTTATCAAATACTATGAATTTCCATATTTCATTAATCTTCTATGTATCAACCATTATTTATGAATAATTACCTCCCAACAGTTCAAATTATGTAAGTCATTATCCTTACTACTTAGTATTGTATTGTCATGGATGAGTACTCAATACGAAGATGTTCATATGCTTGAAAAGTTGCGTGTATGTATATTAACTGGAGTCACTAATGCTCAGTGTGTTAAATTACTGGACGAAGCTGTATGAACTCATCTACATTAAGGTTATTAAATTTGAAAGACTGTTGTTGAAATGTAACTGCTAAAAATGTTAAATGATTATGATAATCCCTCCCCTTTCACAGCAAAATATAGAGCAGATAAAAAGAATAGAGGTCCTTAGTAACTGCTGAAAATCAAAAGGGCAGTAATTCGGTAATCATAGTTTGAAGATGTTTCCTTTGCATGCCCATGTACAAAACATATGTAAGTGCTCCATTATTTAATGGATGGTTTATTCTTTTAATTTACTATGGAATGTCTCCTCCAAAGCAACCATATTGTGTACAAGCATCAGAAATTAGTTTGTTAGAACAGACTCAATAACAATTGTGTTGACAAATGTATCAATAGTAAAGCGGTTAAAACAGTGGAGCACATAGAAAGAATATAGAAATAATGAGGACTTTAGAATTTTCTGTGACTACTAGATATATGTTTACTTCTTTCTACTGGATTCTGCTATCACATTTTATTCAATTTCTAGAAGAATCTTGTGCTTATTACCTGTTTTTACTAAATCACTTAAACAACAATTTCATTGTAGTAATAACATCATAGATTTACTGTACTGCCATTGAGTATTGGCCAGACTGATGTTCTTTGTTACTTTCATTCTTTAGGGAATGCCTCAACCAGATACCTCACCACAAGTTCTCGTTTGCAAAAATATGGCTTTTAGCAGCTCAGTTTGAAATACGTCAGCTGAATCTCAAGGCTGCTCGTCAGATATTAGGAAATGCCATTGGAAAGGCTCCTAAAGATAAGGTAATATATCTGTAGATGCAAATATAACTTCTTTTGATTGCAACCTGGCAAACTTTTCACAAATCTTTATGCATTGGCAACAGATTTTTAAGAAGTATATAGAGATAGAACTGCAGCTTGGTAACATAGACCGATGCAGAAAACTGTATGAAAAATATCTGGAGTGGTCTCCAGAAAATTGTTATGCTTGGAGCAAATATGCTGAGTTGGAGAGATCATTATCTGAGACTGAACGAGCCCGAGGAATTTTTGAGCTTGCAATCGCCCAACCAGCACTGGACATGCCTGAGCTGTTGTGGAAGGTACATAATTTATTTTTTGTTCAAGAAAATGCCTGGACACACTCACATGTAATTGTTTTGGGTCGTTCTTGATGCAGCACAGAATTCATTTAAATTTTGGGGTTGGATGGAAATAGAAATTATGGAAATAGGTGGGCGGCTTTTTTACTTAAATTTAATACAAAGATCACTTTTAGGAGCGCCTTATACTAAAACAATTAGAAAAGTAGGTAATAAGAAAAAAAACATTGAAGCCTTGACTTTCCAAAACTGTAAATGATTAGTAAAAGGGAACAAAAATAAAGAGCAACATAAAACAGGGCCTATGCAGCGCAACAATGGTAACAGAAGAAAATGTTTGCGTGTATATTAAAGATATACAATGCGTGCATATACATGCATGACCTAATAGGATAAAGACAAAAAATACCCTATTTACAGCTTTATTGTTACAGCTCATTGTATTCTAGAAGCTACTATTGTTCACGGCTCAGCATATTAGAATTGGGCTGCTCATCTGCTATATGGACCAAATTGGGTTGCTCTGCTGTTAATTAGACATAACACGTTGTTTTTAATTGATTCTACATTTGAGGGCATTCGATGAATATAATACTGTGTTCTAAGTTCTAACAGAGGTATAATTTTAGCTGAGCATACATTACCTATGTATATGCACATTATTTTGTGTTTTTTATTTGTATGATGCCTTGACTTGTAAAAAGTTTAGTAAAAAAATAGGCAAATTACCTAAAGAACTACTGTTTGTACTTTGTAGATATTTTTAGATGATGATGGGGAAAAAGAATTATTGACGACGTAGACACTGCAAATTAACTGCGACAAGTTCTCAATTTTGTTGTTTTACCTATTTCATAATTTCCTAATATTTATGGATTTTTTTTTTAAGTAAAGGTATAACAAATTTAAAGGACTGTACCATCAGTACACATTTGTAAATTGTTTAAAAATAATAATAACTGTATATATTATACTTTTAGCACTATTTATTGAAAATTAGATGTATATTAGCAGCTTGCACATTTTCAGTTGGACAAAAATAGCATTTTCTCCTTTTTAAATAAGATTAGATTAATGGGCCTTTATTTAATTTTAAATTTATTTTTCACTGAATGCAAAGTGTCCTTTTCATTTATATTTTTACTAAATAATTTCAAATTATATATTGTCTATTTTGGTTTTCCATTTTGCTTATTTGTTTTTTCATTTTATGTAGTATTTTAATTAGTGTAATTTTCGTTATTATTAATTTTTCTGACTTTAGTGAAAAAGGATGGATAATAAGGGAGGACTAATGATTTCAAGACAACTTGTAAATGATGACTTTCTCTCACTTGTGATTAGGGCTATAGTATTAAAATCAATTAATGAATGTGAATATGTTTATAGCTTGATCTTTCCCTGGGTTATTTGAAAGAGGATTACTTATGATCAATGCATCCAATACTTCATTCATTTGCCCCATGGATGTTTATACATTAGATTTGACTTGATTAAGAGGAGATCATTTCAAGCAAAGTTATTATATATTGTGTTTGCTACTTTCACTTCCGTAAAACACCGGACACAAGCATTGGCTTGTTATCTTGTTACTCCATCTGAGACTGCATTGGTGCAACCTCTTTGGGCTGTGGTGATATGAACCTTCGAGGTTCATGAGGAGATGAGGACAGTCCACTTCAAGTTTCAACTATGGAAAACCTTGGTTCGTCATAGCGTTTATTTCGCAAGCATCACAGAAAGCACTTGCACCAATTGTATCATTGTTTAAAATTGATCTTGAGGTTTTCTTGGATTGTTTGGCTGGATGAAAGGCATTTCTTGGTGTTGTTGGAATGGGTTTGGTTGCAGAAGCTTGAATTGCAAGGAATCTCCAATAAGTTATTGTTTTAGGATGGATTATGGTGGCTTCTTGTCACTTATGGGTGGCAACGTGGATGGAAGTTGATATGAATCATAAGGGGCGATTTAGGATCTTTAGGATTAGAACCTTGTAAGAAATTTAGGAATTTAGTGATAAGGTGGAAGGAAATAATCACTCTTCCCAAGGAAGACAACTCACAAAGGATGTGAAAGTTTTTTTTATAGAGCCAAATATTCTTGAATCACTCAAGAACTTAGGAGAATCACTCTCACTAAGATAAAAGAGATAAACTCTAATATTTCTGAAAATAAAACTCAACTTGTTATTTCTGATAAAAATGGTTCAACTTATATAGAAGTTTTGTCATCAGAGTTACAAAGATTCACTAAAGGAAAATAAATGCTAATAATGATTTACTAAACTAGGAATTGAAAACTACTTAATGACTTATTGTAATTGAAATTGTGGCAACTAAAAGTCAATCAGTTATACACTCTCTTCATCTCCCAAAGACTGATAACTAAATTTTCAATTGGGTCCTTATTATAACTTGCAATAAAATCAAACTAAAGTTCATTAATTGATTAATCCAAAACACAATTTGGTCAACCAACAATACTTGTTGAAGAGCTTCATTTGTTTCCCTTACTCTAGCCCTTATCATAGGTCATGTTCACATCATTCTCTCCTTCTTGAAAATGATTTGTCCTCAAATCGGATTCGTCATTTACATAAAATAGAGATAAGTCTGACAAATTGAATGTAGAACTAATATTATACTCACATGGCTAAATAGCTCTTTCTCACTTCAAGTGTTTCACTCTTCTTCTTTTTTCTCTTTTCTTGAAGAAATTTTTCTCTCATTTTCTTTTTATCCTCCTCTGCCATCAATTTGATGTTCAAACCTTTAAACCGGAGCTCTGATACCAACTGATATGAGTCACAGGGGGCAATTTAGGATCTTTAAGGTTAGAACCTTGTAGGAAATTTAGGAATTTAGTGATAAGGTGGAAGGAAAGAATCACTTTTTCCAAGGAAGACAACTCACAAAGGATGTGAAAGTCCTTTGATACAGTCAAATATTTTTTAATCACTCAAGATCTTAGGAGAATCACTTTCACTAAGATAAAAGAGATAAACTCTAATATTTCTAAAAATAAAACTCAACTTGTTATTTCTGATAAAAATGGTTTAGCCTATATAGAAGTTTTGTCATCAGAGTTACAAAGATTCACTAAGGAAAATAAATGCTAATAATGATTTATTAACCTAGGAATTGAAAACTACTTAATGACTGATTGTAACTGAAATTGTGCCAACCAAAAGTCAATCAGCTATACACCCTCTTGGTCTCCCAAATACTGATAACTAAATTTTCAATTGGATCCTTATTACAACTTGCAATAAAACCAAACTAAATTCCATTAATTGATTAATCCAAAACACAATTTGGTCAACCAACAATACTTGTTGAAGAGCTTCATTTGTTTCCCTTGCTCTAGTTCTTATCATAGGTCATGTTCACATCATGAGTGGTAGTGGTAGGTTTGGGTGGTGTTTGAAGGTGGTTTATGGTTGTTTCTTGGAAGGTTATTTTTGTGTTTGTTCACCCTTGGGTAGTGAAGCTTATGGTGGTTGTCATGGGTGGTGGTTGTGAGGTGTGTGGGTGGCCAAGGTATGGTGTAACTCATGGCCAAGAAGAACCAAGAAGGAAAGTAGAAGAAATGCACAAAGGAAAGAATTAGACTAAGGAAGGAAGAGTCTAGGAGAATAAATATAAATTTGGAGTGATAGCTTCTCTTGGAAACTATCAAGAACATGACATAAGAACTAAAGAGAGGAAATGTTCCTCTTGCGCCACTCGCTCGTGAGATAAGCAAGAAAGGAGATTCCCCACTTGAGTTCTCCCTCATTATAAGAATTCCTTTAGATAGAAGTGTTCACACCCCTCATAAGCAAACTCACCACTTCAAAGTAATACTTTGCATACACTCCCAAAGTTGTGGCTAATGTACAAAGGTGCTTTCTATTCATAGAGACTAGCGTCATGGAAGGAGTGGCAAAACACTCTTTACCACCTTGGTGTCCAAACAAAGCTAAAAACTGAACTACTAAAGGAGTAGTCAAACACACTGCAGACTATCCTTATGTCCAGAGAAGAATTTATTACATTAAAAATATTATCTATTTCATTCAAATGCTTGCTATCTTTACTTCTAGTTAATCTCCCTCGAAAAACTTCTTGAAGCAACTCCTTTCCATCCATGATCACATAAAGTGGTCTATTGAGATGTGACAACTTCATTGTAACTTCGATCGGTACCCACAACTGTTAGTTTAGCGGAAGTTTGGGTAGCATTCACATTTTTGGGTGGTATGATTGGCTCAGAGAGATGGAGATCCAATTTTGAACATTATTTGCTGGTAGGGCCACAATGAAAGGCGAGATTATAAGCTTGCGAGTTGTATGATGTAGCAGATAGAACACGGGATGAAAAGTGCTTTACATTCAAAAGAAATTCATTTAAAATCTCTTAAATGCTCATTAGTTTAAGCTGATTTAAAAGAGGAAAATTTGTATTTTTGTCGAACTGAAAAAGTTGAGTGGGTGTATGTTAGCAACTCCCATATGGTTATGACCGGGTGTGACAGCCTCTTTTTTCATCATTCCTTCTTTGACTTTTATTGTTGTCTTATACTGCATACCTTGATAACTATATTCATATTGCTCATAATGTAACCATGAATTTGTTGATACAAAGCAGGCATTCATTGACTTTGAAACTGCTGAGGGTGAATTTGAGAGAGCAAGAGCACTTTATGAAAGGCTTCTTTACCGAACAAAGCACTTGAAGGTATGGATAAGCTATGCGGAATTTGAGGCAACAGCTATGGATACCGAAAGTGTAGACTTAGCGGAACATGAACAAAAGCAGCAATGCATTGAGCGTGCTAGAAGTATGTGATCCCAGTGCTATATGGCTCTTATGCTGTTAATTGTTTTCAGTTTGAACATAAGTGGGATAATTTTTCTGAATCTCTTTATATTGTTTGTGCCTGCAACAGGGGTGTTTGAAAAAGCTCTCAACTACTTCAGGTCATCAGCTCCAGATTTGAAAGAAGAAAGGGCAATGCTATTGGAAAAATGGCTCAACATGGAGACTACATTTGGAGAGCTGGGTGATGTTAGCTTAGTCCAGTCTAAGCTGCCCAAGAAGCTCAAGAAGAGAAGGCATGTTGCCACTGAAGATGGTTCTACTAGGTATGTAACTAACTCAGGTTTATGTCTTCAGTTGTTCCCAAGGGTTAGTTCATATGGTTTCATATTGTTCGTGGTGAAAGCTATTCAGGGGATTTATTTTCTGCATGTCGCATATTTGAAGGTTCACTTGAGCTTTCAGCATCTTCCACGTTGACAAGTTGTCCAAGCATTGTTAATTGTATGACTATGACATCTTTTGCCTACATCATTCCTGTTAATTTAATTTTTGCAGAATTGAAGAATTCATCGACTTTTTGTTCCCTGAGGAAAGCCAGACAACTAATCTCAAGATCTTGGAAGCTGCTTACAAATGGAAAAAGCAAAAATTGTCTTCCGATGATTAACAATAACTTGTAGTTATATTTTTGGTGTGTATATATTGGGGAATATTTAATTCATGTGTAACTAGCAAATACAGGACGTCATCTACCTGCACATTATAAAATTCTTGGGCTATTCCCTTTCATTTTAACGAAATTTTTATTAGATGTAGAAATAAGCATCTCAAAAACAGTAGCTTCTGCAGCTAATTCAACCTTGAGCTTATATTTGTGACCGAGAAATGCACTAAGGAACATGTGTCGCAACCGGGACTATAAAAAGTCTAAAAATGTGATGAAAAAAATATCGAAAAGGGTCAATGATTATTTATTAAAAATATTTGTCTTGACCTCCAATATTTGTTTCATCACATGGCTTACGCAGTGTTAGCCGACGATTGATTTACAGATAGCAGACAATAGAAAAATAAAATTTGTCCACTAAAATTTTTAAAATCTTCATAATATATCTTTTTAAAATGTTAATTTAACTATATATCTACTAAAATACCGAAAGACTTTCTTGTGTTATGTAAATAATTTATAATCAAGTCTATATTAATTTTTTCAACTATTTTTATAAACATACATATGTTATTTCTAATATAAAATAATTTCCTGTTCGATTACTTCAATTTTTAGAGTTACAATGATTTAAGAAAAAAAGAGATAATTAAGTTTTAGCTAAAAAAAATGTTGAATTACTTTTTTTAGGTTTAATTATATACAAGTAAAAATAAGAAGAAATATAATATTTATCAAATGTCATAAATATACACCCACCAAATTTTTAACAATCATTCAACACCTGTTATAACTTGAAAATATAAAAATTTGTGGATATTGTTGGGGGTATTAGATAAAAAAAAAAAAGTGAGTATCACCACAGTATAAAACTTTCTTTAATCTTAAAAAATATATATACATTCCGTTTTCTCTCTTCTCATAAAATTTTAATTGCCTAACTACCATCTATGTTCCTTACTTCTACCTAACTGAAGGAACCAAATCGTAGAAATATTTTGATAAATAAATAAATAAATAATTATATATATAACTATTCGCTACCTTCCGTCCAAAAAAAATCATGCACGGGGTGATGTCCGATACTTTTATATTCGTTTGATCATCCTATTAAACTGCAACTGCAACTGAAACTGAAACTGAAAAAAACTAAAGGAATTGGGAAACTATAGCAAATAACGGACGTTTGAGTGAATACGTCAAACCCATTACAGCAATATTTTTCTTTAAAACAGGAAAGAATTGTGAATAAAATTACATAAATGAAATATATCTACAAAATGTTGTGAAGACACTGAAATCATCTCACCCAAACTCCTCTTTTTTTTTCCCTTCCAACAACCATACCTCTAGTAAAGATGGCAACTAAGCGTTTCGCAAACCTAGTAGAAAGCAATCTACTTAGACCATGCAACTGCATCGATCTCAGCTTGTGCACTCCGGTATAACTCAAGCCTCTTTGCAAGGGCACTTCGTCTTTCCATTATTGCAGGATCCTCATTCAGCAATGAGGACAGACGCTTGGGCTGCAAAGAGGATTTATGCAGACTATCAGTGTTTAATTTAATAGGAAAATGCATAGTTTAATTGAAAACCAGCCTAGGGAACACAGATTAATTATCACCTCAATTTTGCCTAGTTCAGTGAAGAAGTGATCGAGTAATCCTCGTTTGGCTTCCCGCACTTGACAATAGACAATTGACTTGGGAATTGAATGCCGCAGACTTGCGCAGACCATATTGACATAAGACAGAACATTGGTTCCTGATACGTGTGAGCGTATTAGTCTTTCAATTATTGACACGGAGAAGCTTATGTTAAACTATATGAGGGAGCATATGATCTCAGTTCAAATAAGAGATGCATTATGTAAAAACTTACCAATTCGCCTAAGATATGAATCGTTATATCTATCAAAAATTGAATGTGTGGGATTGCCACCCTTGTCAACATCTTGAGGAAGCTTTCGGAAGAAATCAACCGTCAAATAGCCACTTTCCATATCAACTAGCTGTAGTGTTGCTTTTCTGCTTTCCTCCCTCATTGTTTCTAGTGATTCAACGGCTGCATTTCCAACCTCAACACGTAGACCAGGATATTGCTTCAAGTCCTGTGAGTTTAACCAGATCAGCTAGGGCAGTGGGATCATAACGCCAGAAAACATAGGATTAAAATGATAGAAGAGCAATATTAATGTCCTACGTTTGTAAAAACACAAATTCAATAAATTCCAAATTGTCATAGTTAACCCAATTGTTTCCATTTACTTAGAAAATTCCAAGACTATCACAGTCACAAGACTCGTATAAAATCTTTCTAACCAAAGAAGGCATGTTCCTTCTCACAGTAAAACTAGAACTACTACATCAAATTGGTTTTTATTCTTTGAATTTATTATGAAAATGAACTTGAAGTCTTTTCTATTACATTGACAAGTAGATCAAATAATTAGTCTTTGATCACAAAGTATTATTAGCCTTTGAGCTAGGCCTCTCTTCCATTTCAGCAGCTTTACATAGTTCACAAGTATAGATGTTAGAGATTAATGCACTGACAACACCTAGGCATACAATTATGCACATTTTATTTCCTTAGCTGCAAGGAGGACCAAAGCTATTGAACATAATAATAGAGCAGAATAAAACACTAAATTTCAGTGTGGTCAAGAACATACCAGAGTCTCGCTAATAGCTTTGTGAACGAGGTCCTTTAACAGGGAATGCACCTGGACACAATTCAGTATGACATAAATAAATATGAAAAATTTGATCATCAAAGATGAATACAATCGCCACAGTAGATTTCAGTATGGTCATGAAGGACATACCAGAGTCAACTGCATAAGTAAATAAATTAACTATGACAAATATACATTACCATTAAAAATACCAAATTTGTAAATTTCCCTATTTTAAAGGCTGCTTCTGACAAGGTCTTAATTGAGGCTAAGGTTTTTAAATCAGTAGGGCCAATCAACTTGAACAATTTTCCCCATGTAATTTCTACCACGCAAGATCTCAAAAAATGCATTTGGGAACAAATAATAGAGAGGAGTTGATAATCAATGGCAAATTATTATTTAATGGAAACTGTTTCTTGACAGTGAATGATGATCCAATCTACAAAGTTTCAAATATATTTCAAACTGCAGACCAAAACTGAACACATAATTGTGAATATTAAATAAAAATAATAAAACATTAATTTGCTTAATAACTGCAGACCAAAACATTAATTTTGTGTCAATTGCAAACGAAAATGACTAATTGCAACAGGATCATTGAAATGTGCTTAATAACAATAATTTTCATATCATTTATGCATACCGCATCAACAGCTGCCTCAGCTGGACCCCTGATAGTAGTTAGAGAAGATTCAATGAGATGTCGGTATCCTTGTTCTGGAGCTATTAGATGAGGTTGATACCCATCAGCCTCTGTGATACGTTTCCTTATATTTTCCATTGAAAGCTGCTTATCAAACTGCAGCCTTTTTAAAGCAGCAGGGAGCTGATTGTCAAAGACATTATAAATTTTATCACCTCCAGGTCGCCTAGAATGGAGAAACAAATTATTGTTATTAGTTTGAGAAAAGAAATGAACCACAAAACACAGGCGGTGAATTATTTTAAAATAAATTAATGCTCAAAAAGGTAATACATACACGCCGTCAAGATGTTCTTTGAATATTTGATCAAATGAGCGGCATATTTCCATGATTGAATACAACTTTCCCTGCATGTGATTTGCAGTCAATCATTTGAAAATTCAGATATATACAAGGCTTTTTTCAACAGTGGACTATAAAAGATAATCAAGAATTTTCAGAAATTTATAAATAAAATTGGTTGAGCTATGAAGAATACAATTACCCCATCATCCGCTGCAATAGGCTTTCCCAGACGACTCAGTTCAGCTTCAAGTTCAGCGATTGTCTTACTAATAAGAGATTGAATACCAGGAATTTTGGACTTGATTACTGCCTCCAAATGCTGAGGCATAAAGAATTATCATTTAGTCATAGACGCAAGTAAAATAAAATGTTCCAAGCAGTCTTAGTCATACTAATTTAAATTAACAAAATAATATATTTTTCATTCAATTAATGCTCTATAAGGATAAATAGTTATATTCTTACCTTTGAAAGCATCTTTGCTAGATGTTCAGAACCCATTCTGTGAGCAAGGTGCTTATATTCAGGAGTATTAGAAAAATATTCGCGTTCTCTACGTCTAGCAGCAATCATGTCAACATTCTTGTTAATATCTGCTTGTGATCTATTGACAACACCAATCCAGGGATATTTTAATCTATAAGCTCTCCCTTCCAGCATCTGAAGAAAAAAACATATATGTAATAAAGATGAGTACTGAATGAGTAGCTAAGTGTTTCACTTGTGAAAGTGAAATAGGTGCCCGTTCCTCAGGTCTATTGTCATAAATTAGAAATAAGATAATGGAAATAAGCTTAATGCTCCAGCAGAAAAAATGTTTTAAAACACAAGAAATCTTTTGCCGAGTAAACTATATCCACCTTCCTTATCAATAATTCAATATAATGCTTTGACATTTTATAACTAAAAATGATTCACTTACATCAACAGCATCAGTACCCTTGTCCATAAGATCAATCTTTGTCAAGACTCCAAATGTTCTTTCTCCTTAAAATTAAATCAACAACAGGAGAATTAGAACGGCAATAGACTATTTACTTCAAGCTGTTCAAATCAATTGAATTGCTCATCCGTAAGAATCTGGGTCAAATGTACATTTTCTAACTCATTGACTCTTGGAAACCAGTGAACTTCATTAAATTGCAAAACGAATAGTAATCAAGATTAAAAAAAAAAGAATGATTGAATTACCAGTGGGATCCACTTCACGGGATATTTTAATTGCATCGGATGTTGCAAGATCTTGATTGGCTGGTGTAATTGCCAAAATTATACAGTTTGGCTGCAGATTAACATCAAATTCAGTATACCACATATTTTAACAAATATAGAAATCTTTTAAATATGTGTCTCGCCATTGAGAAATCTATGAAGTACAGAAAATCCAAAAGTGGCTAGTTCTTGCGCAATCAACCAACTTAGCACAATTAATTTTCTTGAAAGGCTATATCATACAAGTTGTGGCAGGAAAGCTAGTGTAATATGCTGTCCTGCAAATTTTGTTCCGCGAGATTCCTATTAGAGAAAGGGAACTACCTTCTCAATGTAGGAGCGAACCATATTCTCAATATCTTGGACAATGCTATCAGGTTGACCCTCTGTATTTTGCAAAAACCATTTGTTAGCATGTCACTCTCCAATCTCCATAATAAAAATCTGACCATTCCTGGTTGTTACAAAAAACCAAGGACAAAATAAACACGTCTAATTTTGCTTACCTACAGCTACTTTTGTAAGTCCAGGAAGATCAATGAGTGTCAAGTTTACGACTGCACATGTCCAAGGGATCATAGTAAGTTGAAAATTTAGATGAAAGAATGTATGATAATTAAGAAAGTGAAATTCAAACATACCATTAGGAGAATATATACTAAGATGAATGGGGACACTTGAAATCTGTTTTGTTCGTCCAGTCTCTCTATCGGTTTCATCTTGAATTTCCTTTCTCACAACAGCTGCAGAAATTATATTATCATGAACACAAATAAAAAAAAGTTGAACATTAATCATTGAGAAATAAAAAAACAGACACCAAGCAACCAATGATAGCAATGATGAAGAAATAAAAAGTAGCGGATAGTTTATGTACCGAAATCGGTGAACCTCTTCCTTGGAAGGTGAAGAAATTCAGCATACTCTCTGCCACCCTCGTCAATCTTGTGAAGCTGCAAAACAAGGGGTCGCCGGGTAACGATCCCTACACGTGCATTGAATGCACAACATCAGATGAATTTCCCAACACATGTAAAGTAATTTAAGTAGAGTTTAATTGGCGAGTGTAGTTTGTATTGGCATAATTACCTGATCCACGAGGTAAGAAATCCTTGCCAACGACACTTTCAAGTACTGAGGACTTTCCAGAGCTCTGAATGAAACACAAAAGTGAAAAAAACGAACTCAGAATAAAATGCATTGTCTGAGAATTAGAATAAACTGAATTGGATTGAAATTTTGAAAACCTGGCCACCGACGACAGCGATTGCGGGGAGAGAGTCCCAGAGAGTGGGTAACGCACTTGCTTCGCCATGGTCGCCTAAAGCAGTGCAAGCCCTCTGGATTTTGTTCACCAAAGAAATTAGGTTTTCCATTCACCGATTATTTGAGAATTTGTGATTATTGCAGTGTTTTGTTTGCGCGTTGAGTGTTTTTCTTACAACTTCAGAGAGAGAGAGAAGAAGAGAGAGAGAGTTTGTGTTGTTATTCAGAAATCGCATCTTGTCGAGTCGTATTCATAGCTTAGTTGACCCAAGTCTTCAACTCGCGAGTTTTTCGTTTGTTTTCTCCTCTCTCACGTGTCATGTCACGCATATTGTTGACCGTTGGAACATTCTTTGATAAATTGTAATGGAACATTAACTGGTTAATTAATAAATCCTTTGATGAGTTGCTGGGTAAGTACCGTTAAATAGAGTTTTATTTATTTATTTAGTATTAGTCCCTTATTTATGATAATTTATGCTACCATACTTGTTTAATTTATTGTATGTTAGTAGTTATGATGAACTTGGATATAACATCTGATGAGTTAATTAACTATAGCCAAATTACGATAAAAGGGTGACGATTCATCTCAAGTACAAAAATGATATCATTTGGTTTTTTTTATTATTATTATTATTTCATTTGGTTGACGGATATAGTTTTTTATTTTGGCCATTTGTGTCTTCCCATTTTCAAATTTAAATGTTGGTGCGATGATTGTTAATTTGAATTCCCACTTTAAAGGTGGGGCTCGTTTGGTTGATATAAAAAGTGTACCGTTGGAGCTAAAAGAGTATAGTCAATTGCAGTTTTGCAACTTCGTTTGTCTTACACTAATATTTTCTTTCCGTCTCGCTTGTTTCACAAATTAAAAGAAAACATGGTCTAAAATTTTGAAACAAACAAGCTCTAATATTAGGTAGATAATAATTTGTTTATTATAAATAAAGCAAAAAAGTATATATATATATATATATATATATATATATATATATATATATATATATATATATATATATATATATATATGTATATAGATAGATAAAAGCACAACACAAACAACAGAATTTATACCTTGAAATTCTTACAGAATTCTTCTAATTCTAAACTATCCAAAAATAGAATCACATACTCTAAAAACACTGAAGAGAGAAAAGCGATACTATCGATAACTATATTAATTAGGTGTTATTCAATTATAAATACATATTATCATTGATTTATAAATTTGTTATAATACACTTATTTTGTTTTCTAAATATTAACTGCTGCATATAGAGTATAACTTCTACAATTCAGAATGTCACTTACTATCCAATAGGATTTTACAATTTATTTTATTTATAGTTGAGATAATTATATGATTGGTGAAGAGAGAATAAATGATTGGTCAAGAGAGAATTCGTGCTAAGATTATGCCTAGAGAATACATGCCAGCTAATGTTGCACAAATGGTTAAGATTGTTGTACAATGCATGTGTTTCAAAATTTTGTAGTTAGAATCCAAAACTGCGTTCGGTTTGTGGTACTAGAACTGCACTATTGATGTCTACAAGATTGATACTTTATTGGTGTCTCAATCATACATTCGTAAATTTCTCATTTCTTTGTTGTTATTGTTGCAACGACAACAGTTGTTCAGCTTGAACCAGATCCAGGAGATACAAGTTTTCTTTTTCATTGGGAAGGTATTTCTATGACATATTCCTCTGTTGTTTTATACGCTAATACTTCTATATTATTTTGACCAAAAAGTTATAAATAATTCATATTATTGGCATACAATATTGATAAAGAAAAAGTATATAGACATATAAACTAGCCATGGAGAGTAACAAGGAAACTATATATGCAGGCCTTTCCTCAAAGATGATGAATATACTAGGAGAACTCGGAAGTATATCTGGGAGATTAGTGTGAGGTTAACTAATGACGTGCTCAACAGATATGGATTTCTTTGTCATGCATATTTATTCAATTTTCTGATAATCTCTATATGCATCAATTGAAGATCTCGGTTCGTGTTTTTTCTTTCCATATTCTAGATATCTTGCTTTTGCTTTTGTAATATTCATTGCAACTTATCAGTTCGATCCTGTTTTAATTTATAATTTGTATCTTTGATTTACCAGCAAATTCGAATGGGAGATAATTCAGATTTCATATAATGGTATTTATCGCTAAAGGTAATATTCATAAATATAATCTGAATATTGAGGTAAGAATAATACCTGTTAGTCACACTTTAAACAGACATGTTATTTTCGATTTACAAGACAGGACGCTGCTCATGTGGAACATGAGAGAACCCAAATATAATAATCAATAACATGTAAGAAGGAACCTAAAGAACTTTTAAATTACAGTATAGTAAACCACTACTTATTTACCATATAACTAAGAATCATAATAATACAAGTGTTTGTCTACGTAAGACCACTAGAGAAAAGCTTTAGGGAAATTAATTCACAATGTTAATTGGTGAGGGAGAGTTCAGAACACCATGCAGTGTATTTTATAGTTAATTGGTGGGCTCCTCCTGGTCTCCATAGCCGTAAGGGTTTTTGCTAGCCCAATTCCATTGATCACGGCACATCTCATCAATGCCATATTTTGCCCTGCCACATAAGATAGATAATAGAAAACAAGAGCAATATTAGGAAAGAAGTGCATACCCAGAATTTATTCATAAAACGAAAATGTTTCACAATATTATTATGCATTTATTATTTGAGGAGGAGGAGGAGGTCCAGACACAAAGATAAAAAGCAAAGCCTAAAGATCAGTTAAATGTCATGAACATGTCAATTAGAAAGTCAATTAACACTTACTTCCATTTAAGCTCTCTTTCCGCTTTCTTTGTTGATGCATAAACAACTTCAGCATCACCAGGTCTACGGCCAGCCATCACAAGTGGAATTTTCTGAACAAATGAATAATCATCATGATTAGTTATACATGCACTGGAGAATAGCTAAAGCGAAATAAAAAATGACTTGGTTCAAGATGTTATAGGTTGTACGAATATAAAGTAAATATGAAATGGAATCAATCTTATAGGGAGAAAAACTAATGCGCAAGAAGCACTATGTTGAGTACATTCTCAGCAAAATTCAAAATGTCCCGTCCCTCACAAGGGAGAAAAACAGAACGTGAGATACAAGATGCTCTGAAATCTGACATTGAAGTTCACAGCAAGGATTTTGTAGACAGATACAGATACAATACCAGAAAAAGAAACATGATTCTACCTTTCCAGATGCTGTTTCGAAAGCTCTAACCATCTCTAAAACCGATGTTCCCTTTCCTGTTCCCAGGTTATAAACCTCACAACCTGTAAACACAACATGAAAATTAAACTAAAATTTTTGCTACTATAAAATTTCAACACTATCACTGCTTCAGAATTAACCAGCGATGACAGAGTTAAATATCAAAAGATAAAGAAAATTTTGGAATAATACCAATACTCGGTTCGTCTAGTTTAAGTAATGCAGCAATGTGCCCATCTGCTAAATCAACCACATGAATATAATCCCGAACCTGAGAAAATGAAGAACCATCCTATAAGATCCTTTGCGAAGGAATTAAAGGTAGATCTTCAAAAAAGGGAAATAAATAACAGAAACTATTCAATGAGGAAAAGTGGTTTACTTCAGCATAAATTTTATAAGGGGAACTCAAAAGAAAAGATAGGAGGAAATTGTGCATGTAAAATGATCTAATTGTAATGAAGGTAGCTCAAGATATGTACATCGCACATGAACTGTGACTATATAAAGAATAAAAATATTTCAAATCAAAGGAATCAGAAGAGAGGATAAGATTGAATAAAACTTTATGCAATTTTCTCTTCCGAGGAAAAATTTCAGCGAATAAGTTAGAGCCAGATAGATCTTACCCCAGTGCCATCAACTGTATTATAATCATTTCCAAAAACTGTGAGTGCAGGCCGTCTGCCAACTGCTACTTGCTGAACAAATGGCATGAGATTGTTCGGAATTCCACGAGGATCCTCCCCAATATAACCACTAGGGTGCGCACCAACTGGGTTGAAATACCTTAACAATATTATTTTCCAATCTGGCTCTGCTTGGTGGACATCACGACAAATTTCTTCAATGATAAGCTGAAAGACAAACATCTTATCAGATAGATACCAATGGAAAACACCTAGACAAGCATATATATAAAATTCAAGTTTTTTTTTTCTAGTGAAGGGAAAAAATTGTTTAAGATAAAGGCAAGCAGATTACAGGGAATTTGAAGGATAGGGACTTGTTCTTAATGAAAATAATATTCCAAATTAATCAGATGGTAAATAAACACACAATTCAAATCAAAACCAAGTTTCACCTTTCCACAAACACTCCTAGTCATACCTTAGTTCGTCCATATGGGTTCATTGCTGACAGAGGGAACTCTTCTGTACATGGAACCTCCTTTGGCCAACCATATACAGTTGCTGAAGACGAGAACACAAGCTGAAACCATTTGAATAGATACAAAATCGGTGAAGCAAGCAGAATTCAGCACCAACCCAATAAAATGCCTAATTAATTTCGCAAGACACCTCAAGCACCAACCTTACTAACTTTTTGAGACATCTCATCCCAAGGGAGGTTAGAATTTCATTGAACCAATTTAAATAATATGCAAGTTAAGGTCAATAGAAGGAACTCTATCAAAAAAAGTAAAAACTATGATGGGTTCCATAGAAGAAGCTGGAGAATATTAATAATATTTTTTTAGCGCAGTTAAGGTCTATCATGCAGGACTAAAAAATAAGAAGGATTTTACCTTTCTGCATCCATGGGCAGCCATGACTTCCAATAGAGTGATTGTCCCAGTCAAGTTGTTGTTATAGTATAGTAAAGGTTTTTGCACACTTTCTCCGACTGCTTTCAGACCAGCAAAATGTATGACAGCATCAAACCTCCAAGAAAAAAAAATAAAAAAAGTGATTAGAAAAGGTTCATACATCAACGATGTACCAAAGAGCACATGAAGCACCGACAGATTAAATTTTTACTATTATTAAAGAAACTTCTGTCATACTCTTCCTGGCATAAAGAAAGAGAAAAAAAAAGCTTCTGTCTTAATACTCACTGTGTGGAAACAAAAATTTGCTCCAGTGCAGCTCTGTCCCGTAGGTCCACCTGCAGTGGCAAAAATATAACAAAAAGCGTCGGTCATCAATGATCACCATAATAAACTAAGTAAACAACAAGCTGTACAATTAAGCAATTAAAGAGCTTGGCCTCTCTGGTTTCCTTTGCCATAATATTTGTGAAAGCCATAATATTTGTGAAAAACCACGGGTTTTGTAAAACAAAATAAAAATCGTCACCGAAACCACCAGAACAGTCTAACAACATCGGGTTGGACCTAACAAAAAAATTAAACCAGTCGTTCCCCAAAATCACATCACGTCAAAAAAGTACATCATAAACTTTTCAGCTGAACTCGAAACCGACTTAGCGCCAAATCCAATTACGCTGAAACACGCAAAAATCCAATCCACCAGACACCGTCTAAGCACAAAAAGAAGCCCACCGCAATCCTAAAATTTCACAAATCTAAACCTAAATCGATGAAATTCTGAGTCCCGAAAAACCCAAGCCACGAAGCAAACCAGTCTCGGATTACGATAAAGTGACAGAACCAGTCGAAATTGAATGAAAGAGGCAAAAGAATGAGCACCTTGTGGAAAAAGAGGTTATTCCCAAACTCGCCGGCGAGCTCCCGCACTCTGCGGATGGCAACCTCGGAGGAATTGTCGAGATTGTCGACGACGACGGTAGTGAAGCCGCCGAGGAGGAGCTGAAGAACGGTGTGGCTGCCGATGTAGCCGGCTCCGCCGGTTACCAGGACGGTTTTGTTGAGCATGAGGTTGTTATGATGCGCAGCGTTTTGGTGTGAGGGATTGTTAGAAAGCTTGTGTGATGAACGAAAACGCGGTGAATTAATACCATACGGTGGTGTGGAGGAGGTGAGGTTGCCAATGCTGACCCGCGATGCCATTTTCGGAGAAGGCGAGAATTGTGTGACACGTTCTGAAAGTTATGTTATGTGTTGTGTTTGCTACTTCAATTGGAATTGGAATTGGAATGGTTTATTATGCGAATATTTATGGAGGGAACAACAGATCAGCCACGTGGATTTCCAGTATGGCCTCTTCTCATAATCATCTCCACATCACTTTCTCAACCTGTCATTTCTCTTTCCACAACTATTTCCGTTTAATAATTGCTTTCTTTAAACTAATCTACCTAATTAATCTTAATTAAACAAAATTTATCCCTATCTACGTACTTTATTAACCCATTCCCCTAAACTTTGTTCCTTCTTGTTTCTTGTTTGGTTTTTTGTTAACATTTCTTAATTCATCGCGATTTATTTGTTTTAAGTTACAGTACGTTTTACTTAAAAAAGAAAAGGAACAAACAGAGTTCAAATATCAATCCTTTTGAAAACAACAATATACAAAAAACACATTTGAAAAATATTGATGTAAATAAATTTATAATATTAATACTACAAATTAATTTGTGTACTGAATAGATTAAATAATGAAAATAGTCATAAATGAATTATTAATTAGTTTAGAAAATTGTGCGACTTTTACATTATTTTTTACCCTTATATTTTTAATTATTGATACTTTAATTTTGTATTGATTTTTTTATCTCAAATATTAATTATCTAGGTTGAAATATTATTTTGCTCTGTTTGGACTCTTTTTCTTGATTTAAAATGCTCATATACCGCGAATAATTAATACCTGCTGACAAGAGTTTTAATAACATTCCAAATAATTAATAAATAGAACTCTAAGAAGGAATTACGAGAACGTTTAGTAAAAATGATGTGCCATAAATGATATATAACATTTGCAGAAATATGTTGAAAATGGAATAAAAGCAATTAAAGGATGTGAAATTTGTAATTAATCACATTAATTATTAATGGTTTTAATTACCAAATTGGAAGGTTTTTAAATTTTGTGAAATGGACAGTTTTAGAAATGCTTTTACAATATTGGTTTATTATTCATTAATAATTTTTTTCAGAAATAGAAAATAGGACAAAAATTTTAAAATTTACCTCAAACAATTGTTATGTTTTTTCATTAAAAAACGATTATACGTAGATAATTTATAAAAAAAATATTTAAAAGTTTCAAACTTCTTTTTTAGAAAAATATTAAGAATGTAAGTTTACAGACAAATTTCTTTTAATTATAATATTACGCAAATACTTCACCAGCTTCCACTAAAAAAATTATATAAAAGATCTCTTAAATTACAGTTACAGTTAACTTTTAAATCCATCTTACTCAATTGTCTTCCTCGAATTCTCTTTTATTTTAAAAGTGTTTGGTTTCGTAAAAGATGAATTTTCTACTTTATTCTCCACTTTACCCAAAAGCTAAATAATGTTAAAAAATAAATTGATTCTTTTTACATTAAATCCACCTAAATTTAGATATTCACATATTTGATTTTGAAATAAAAATAAATAAATAGTCTTTTAATATTAATAAAAGATGTAAAGTTAGACTCATAATATTAATAGATAAGATTCTAAGTTTTAACTTGAAGATGGTTAAAAATAATTTACTTAAAAAAATTATTTGCAAAAAATACTTCAAATGCTTAAGTCAATTTTTAAATAAAAGAGTAGTGTATTTGAATATGATAAGGTAGATATAGGTTCTAATAAATCATATTTGAGTAATACATGTATAATTGTATGATCTCGAGTAAGATAAATGTAAATTTTGATAATTCATATAACTGAGTAATGTATATATAATTAGTGCATATCCGAGTAAAGTATGTATAACTCGTGTGACCCTGAGTAAGGTAAATGTTGATTTTGATAATTCATATACTTTAGTAAGATATATATAATTTATGTGACATCGAGTAAAATATATGTAAATGTATAACTTGTATATTGGAGTAAGGTATTTATAGCAAGTATGACCCCGAGTAAGGTATGTATAACTCGTGTTGCCCCCGAGTAAGATAGATGTAAATTTTGATAACTCATATACTTGAGTAAGTTATATATTACTCGTGTGACTCCGAGTAAGGTAGATGCAGATTTTGATAACTCATGTTGAAGTCAAGTATATATAACTTGTGTAACTCTAAATAAGATATGAATAACTCGTGTGACCCCGAGTAAGGTGTAACTTTTATAACTCATGTGACCCAAATAAGATATAATTTTTATAATTGTGACATAAGTAAGGTACAACTTGTATACTCATGTTATTCGAATAACTATAATTTCTGTACTCGTGTGACCTCAAGTAAGATACAATTTTTATACTCATATTACTATGAGTAAGGTACAACTTTTATAGTCGCGTGACTCCGAGTAAGATACAATTTTCATACTCATGTTATCGTGAGGAAGGTATAAATTTTATATTTGTGTAACTCCAAGTAAGATACAAATTTTTATACTCATGTGACCTCAAACAAGGTACAATTTTTTATACTCATGTGACCCAAAACAAGGTACAACTTTTATACTTGTATGACCCTGAACAAGGTATAACTTTTATACTTGTGTGACCCCAAGTAAGGTACAATATATGTAAGTTTTCCAACTCTAAGTCGTTGTAAATAAAGCATATAGAAGAACCCGATTAGATGAGTTCTTTGATTATATCTTTAACTTGTTAACACTGGTTGTAGTATGTTCGTAATTTTATGAAAATATCAATACTTTGTGGTATCAACTTGAATCAAAGATGGTAGAGGTGGTGATGTACGCACCAATTTAAGTTTGAAAGTATCTTGCAATATATGTTATTTACTAGCATTTATAAAGGAGTTTATTATTCAAACTTGGCTACTTTATGTTTTTTAGAGACTTTGGCTAAAAACATCTTATTTATAGTAACGTTCTTATCTTTAAACATGGTACTGTTATTTTCCATATGGATACAATTAACTGCTCGAACACATAACTCGTCAAGGGATCATGGTGAAAAAGTGAAACAATTATCAATTAAATGTTCCGGTGGTAAAACAACTTGTATTGCATGTAGGCCAATAATTGGGTTTAATTTTAGTATAGAATTTGACACTTTTATGAATCACTCAATGAAACTACGAAGGGATTCACCCTAGTATTGTTTTACAATTTCAATGTCATAGATCTGGCCTCATGCATGTTGTTGGCATCGTAGGATTGATCCACGTAACATGGTGAAAAAAACGCGACATAAGATTGTGTCCATTATTTGTATACAAATTGACTTGTATTTGTATGTTGTCAAATGTTCCTCCGCATTTGCTGAACCATCATATTTTGTCAACCTAAGCGGTTTCCAATTGGTTGGGAGAGGAGTTTCTATAATTTCTTAAATAAATGAAGGATCGTCATCCTTTAATATATTTTGATTTTTTGTATATGTTGTTGTAAGTTTGTTTAATGTAGGTTTTTTTATTTCTTCATTATTTTTTTTCTGACATTCATCCATATATTTTTTCAGACAGTTGGTAATGGTTGTAGGATTCATTTTGCTGTTTGAATTTGAAATCGTTTGACTTTGAGTTAAGATTATGGGATGGAAGAGATCTCGATGATCGTTTTACTGAAACCCCCACTGTGAACGCCAAATATTTTTATTGAACTAGTGGAGATCGACAAGAGACTATGAAGTTGGATTGAGGGGATCAATTTATCAGATTTTGAGTTACAACTTCAAGATAATTGAAGTTAACTTCCTTCAAAAAGAACATAAACTCACTTATAGAAGATATTTCGATATTCAAGTCAATTTTTAGATAAGAGGGTAGTATATTTGATAATGAATAATAAGATAAGATTTACTCTATAATTAAATATATTTGTATATGTTCGAAAATATAATAATAATTTTAAAATAATAACTTATAAAAAATTTTACAATATCAAATAATTAATAAAATAATTAAATAAATAAAACAATTTTAAATTTTTTTGTTGGAATAGATACAAATAATTTTATCCAAATTTAGATATTTTGTAATTTTCAATATTAACAAATTAATAGATTAAGTAATTTTTTTTCTTACAAATACATACATCATATTCTTTTTCTTACAGATAAACATGCCGAGAGAGAGAAAATGCGGTAAAGAAACAAGAAAGTGAAATATATTTTAGTTTGATTTCTTATTCTAACTTTTTTTTTAGTTTATTGTTTTCTTTTTAATATTAGATGTGGTTGTATCATCTGAAATTATATAATTAGGAAGATAAAAACGTTTTAAAGAAAATGTATAATAAAAAATATAATTTCTTTTATGCATGGTTGATGATTCTTTAAAAGAAGATTCTGGCGATTGACGAGGATAATAGTCCTAACTCCAACCTAAAGTGTCAAAGTCGAGAACTACTGAGATCATAGACCACAGTGAGTGTGGAAGTATCTATTAATTTTATTCTATGTTTCATACATCGTAGGCGGTTTCTGAATTATTGAAAAAAAAAAAATTACTATAGTTCCATTATCTAAATTCAGACTTGTGCCAAACAAATATGACGATCTCATCTGAATCTATCTAACTTTTTATATATTTGTTGCGTGCATTATCTCTAATAAAAAAAACTCAGTGGTTTGAAATATGTACGCGTGTTGTTTCTCAAACCTTCGGAATTCAAATGAAGTTGAAACGGATAAAGACGACCGAACTTCGAGCAAAAAAGTCTCCGAGAGAAAAACAATTTAGCGACAAGGAAGATTCGGCTGCGATGGTTCGTATTTGCATCAAAAAATTGTTCATGATTTGATTTGGATTTCGTAGTGAATATGATAATTTTGATTTTTGTTCAAATAATAAGACAAGAAAGAAGAAAAGTTGTGTAGCTAGTATGAACTGAAAGGAGATTTGATTGGCAATTTTGGTTTTACGTTAGAGTTTTGAATTGGTGCATACCGGGGGCCGAGAAACCTGCGTTGTTGATAAGGAAATTCACCTTAAAAATGGGATGGAAGTATAGTTTTAATCTATTCA